ATGATAATGATAATTTGCAAAAATTTAGTTGTTTTTAGTTTTTTTTTTAAATAGCAACCCCTTGTTAGTGCGCCACTGTGCGTGCTGTGTGCGTGTGGCTGTGAGAGAGTTCCACTCGTTCCATTTCGTGACCGGCTTTTTTGCTTTTTAGCTGGCGCATCGACTGAAAACGCTTCAGATGTTCTTTGGAAGTGCGCTGGTCAAGACGTGAGAAAAATATCCGAAGCGAGTGCAGCGAAAAGAAAAATCTAGCCAATTCACAAGTAAAAGTGTTAACCAGCTTACCAACAGTGCATTACAAATAATAAATATAAAAAAAAAAACAAAAGAAAATAGAAGCAAAGAGAAGAGAAACGAAGGACAGCAAAATGCCGGTCGATATATGCAGTCAACAACACAGTTTGCTCAGTTCAAGAAGGTAAACTATTAATTGAAGCTGATTGAGTATATCAATTCTAGTGATCGAGTTTTTCAATTACTTACCCTACTTATTCGTTCAAGAAGGAAAATATTTTAAAATGTCCGTTGAATTCTTCTTATAACATTTTTTAATTAAACCTAACTTAAAAAAATTCAAATTTTTGAAAACAAATGAGTGTTTAGTGCTTAAAGTTATGCACTGTGTAAGATGTAGATTAGTAATTTTTAGTAAAAGATTAATCACAGAATGAACAATTGATTCTGTAAACCTCAAAAAAAATATATATATATTTTCCTTTGATTGTTGGAAAATATGATAATTTAATAGCCCATCATTGTAGTGAATAAAGTAGCATTATCGCATCTTTGGTGTTCAATTCAGTTAAAATTATAATACGCAAGCGTTGAGCACTTTGGATAGGAAGCGTTTGTCACTATCCCTTATCGGTCTGCAATATGCACTAATTGAAACGCCAGACATTGGGCCAGTCTAATAACGATATTGGCCCACTCATTTTATCTGGGCACTTTATGAGCCATAAATTGCCAACCTTGCTCGTATATTAACCAAATCTAATGTCCGATTCCCGCGATACTAGTTATCTGTTAATTGAGGGTTTTGTCACTTCATTAAAGTAAAGGCATCCGTATCAAAATCAAATTGTCAATAAATCTGAGAATATTTCTGTATTGTCAAAACCTGCCCACTTGACCTTTCAGATATCGCGGTACTTTATTAGCGCACTCCGCAAACTGTAATTACATCACACACAAATTTTCTACAACAATATTGTTTATATGGAAAATGGTGAATTGTTGCTGGCAATGAAAACGAGATTATCGTTTGAAGTGTTTGTATACAGGAAAAACAGCCCGAGAATACGAAATAGAACTCGCATATCATGTTGTGGCATTGAAACTATTGAAAAGTACGCAACACGACCTCGGATATGTAATAAATATGTGTAAGCTATATACCTGCGTATGCACGATGTTAATACATATGTTTTGGACAAAGGAACAGTCTAAGAAAAGTCTGATGTCTTAGAATTCAAGTTTGACCACTAATGTCTTGTAGTTTTTTAAGGTTTATGAGCTTTTTTTTAATGAATAAGATCATGAAGATACCATTTATATATTGTCTAAACAGAAAACCAAAATGAATACGCTTTAAATATTTACCTTTTTGGTCCAAAGTGTTTCAAAAGCTAATGTGTCGCAGGTTCTAATCAAAAATTAAGGTGGTAATTAATAAATATGAAAAATGCATAGCGAACTTATTATATATTTTTTTTGTAAGCAAGTCCAAAAAAGTTTAATGACCATCATATATACATAAATATGTACATACAGACATAATTATTTTTAGTCCAAAAAAATAGAACATCTCTAATGAACATATTACCCATTCCTTTGTGTGCTTGCAGCGGAACAACAGATACCTCGTTGTCGTTGAACTCACTGTCCCTGACTTCCGATCTGCCGCCAACGGATCTCGATCACCACAATCCACACAACATGAACAAGCTGTGCCGTCAAGTGTCAATTGAGTCGCCCGGCCCGGGCGCCAAAAACTGCGTCTTCAACTTCTTCGTGCCCATTGAGGACACGCCAGCGATGGGCGCCAGGATCAGGATCGTGTGCGCCGGAGCCTGTTATCGGCGTCGCGACCGCTCCAACTCCATAACCAGCATGTCGTCGGTGTCCTCTGAGCTAAGCGACTACTGTCCGCCGGTGAGCTCGATGTCCTCGCCCGCCCACCAGGGCATCCGGGAGGGGTCCTTCTTTCCCGGCTTCGAGGTGGCCGGCGTGATCGAGTCCCTGGGCTCGGAGATCACGGAGGCCAACAGCCGAGGTCTGCACATTGGGCAGCGCGTGATCGTGTATCCGTTCGACGAGGCCCCAGCCGGCTATGCCGAGCTGCTCGTGGTGCCGGACCTGAAGCACGTGGTGCCGATCCCCGACAGCCTGCCCATGGAGGTGGCCGCCATGCTGCCGACGGGCGCCCTGCTGGCCTGGAACGCCGTCTTCAAGGCCCAGGCGGTGGTCACACAGATCCTCAGCCAGCGGGCTGCCACAGAGCCGAAGCGAAAGCCCAAGATCCTGATCGTGGGCACCGGCGGACTGGCGCTCTGGGCCGTGCGCATCGCCTCCTATCACTTCGCCACGACTGGAGCCGACAACGTGGACATCACAGTGGCCAGTCTCAGGGACGAGGGCTTCCGCCTGGCCACGGAGATCAAAAAGTAAGTAGAAACAGCAGTTCCTGGCTGCCCACATCAATTTGTTTTAAATAAAGTTTAAGGGCCTAGCTAAAGCAGTAGCTCCAGCTTAATTAATCTTGATTTGAGACACCTAATTTTGTACTCGATGTATAAAGACGAAACCATAAAAATACTCTATTTAAAAATTATTTACCATATAGACCAATACACCAGTTTACCAAGTACAAGTATATTTTATTCACAGTTTATTTATTTTCTTAACAATGCTTTATATTAAATTAAATTAATCTCAGGGGTAATGAGGTTTTAATCTGTTTTGCTTAACAAAAAATTTACATAAAAACGTAAATATATGCCAGACCCTAAATAAGAAAATAAAATTACTTAATCAGCTTCCGTTTTGGCTAAAAATGTAATAAATGCATATAATAAAAATAAAAATCCCTTAAATATTGAGTAAACATTTTTAACCCAACTGAGTTATAGTTTTGTTGCCCCGGTGAAGACTATTTAGTTTAAATACCTAAAATAGTAATCAGCAATTAATCTAACACCTTTGTTTATTTACCTCCTCAGTGTCAGTGTGGTGCAGTGGAACGAATGCCTGTACGAGCCGCAGCTCATCGAGCGCACCAAGGACGTGTGTGGAGGAGCCGTGGACGTGGTGATTGACTTCGGCACAACCTCCAGGAGCCTGCACCGCTCGATGCACTGCCTGTCCAAGGGCGGCGTGGTCCTGATCAGCGACGAGGTGGCCGAGAAGCTGCTGCCCAAGTTCTCGCGGCTGTCGGAGCAGTACCAGCAGGAGATCATCGCCATCTCGAACGGCACCGCCGAGCAGCTGGCGGAGGTGGTGGAGCTGGTGGCCAGCAAGAAGATCGAGCCGCCGCCGCACTCAGTGTTCCCATGCGAGCAGGCCGCCGAGGTCATCGCAAAGCTGTGCAACTCCGAGATTCCCGGACGCGCCATCCTCCGCTTCCACGACATTGAGTAGGCGGATTGAGGGAGGAGCGAATTCGCATCAAGGCATTAACTCATTCAATATGGATATCTGTTAGCTGTATTCAGAGAAACACCCACAAAACACTGCAACCTGCAACACTCTCGAAGCGGATTCAAAATTGTGCTTATTTTGTAGCCGGTCATTGTTTTGTTACCTTAATTTTTGGACTGCAGACGACCTCCTCGTTTCATTGATTTAGCGTTCTAACCAATTTTAGTATTATGTACATATAGATTGTGATTTATATTATTTGTAAGCAAACCCAATCCCATGATTTTACTTTCGCAAAGTCACCGACACATCACCATATTAGCCGGAGTCAAGATTCGGACATGCTTCTTCTATGATTTTCAATTTAGTACCCCAAGCAGAAGCGGATTACAAAATAAATGTTATACATACTATATACAAAATTGTTATGCATGCGATGCAAAATGTTTGATTCAATTGCTTGATGTTTGTACTCATTACGTACCCAACATTATACTCTCTACTCTTATTCACAAATAAAAACCATGAACTATCAATGCATCGGGTCTGCTCTAGGTCTACGTCATCTGCCTTTGCTGGATTTTGGTTTAGGAGCAGGACTTCGGATTTTCAATCAATTTGATTATATACATGTAAACCACTTTTTCTCGTAGAGGAATAGGGAATATTCGTTGATAAGTATGTCTATCCATATTATCGTCGAGATCTCGGAAGCTATACGAGCTGAAGCTACGGGATTAAGCATGCAAATTATAGCGCATGTTTATTTTGGCCACAAATCGTTGCGTGCCTAGCGAAACTAAAAGCGTTGCTAGTTGACTATTTGGTGAAGAAGATTAAAAAATATGGTAGTTCCATTAAAATTAAAAAAAAAATTAAAGTATTCGTATTTCAGCGTTGATTAGATATCCTTTGCTATCAAAAAAGCGGTTTAAATAGTCTGATCCATTGAAATGTTTGATTTGAAAATTTATTTTAGCTCGAAACATTCCGAAAATCGTTTACATTCTGAATCAAAAAAAGGTTTTCGAGCATATTAATTATTCAAATAAATAAGAATATTTTGTTGGTCAAGTAAATCAAGATTAAGTTTAATTTAGCAAACAATTTTATTTTTTATATTTTTTAAACTTTTCCAAAGATATGGGAAACCAAAAGCTTTTACAATATTTTTAATCAAACCGAGCTTGTAATTTTTTAAAATAGGAAACTTTTTACTTACTGACTTTCTACAAATTAGCGGGTTTTCTTAAATTAAACTATTTCAATTGAAAATTGTGGCAACCTTGTTGTCCCAAAGATACCAGGTTGGCAGTTCCTTCACGCACATTTAGTGTTGAGAAACGCCGTCGGCGAAATTGCGCCAAAAACCGTAAACCGCGGCAAGCTGATCGAGAAAGAGGAAGAGCGAGACATAAATGCCACAAAGTAGATCAGGAACCCAATTAACTAATTGCTGACGTTGGTGAATTGTCAACTCGACAGATAGCGAATTCGCATCGCGATGGTTAACAAAGAGAACGCTCTCAGTGTGGGCCAGCAGGTGAAGTGGATCGGAGGCCAAGACATACTGCCGCCGGTGAAGAATCTCGAGCACAAGAACGTTTACTTCTACCAGAAGTGCATCTACGGCCCGCTCACTTTGACTGTGGGCGACTTCATATTGGTGTCCAACGCGGATGCAGCCGAGCCGGACACAGTGGCCGGATGCGACGTGGCCCGGATCCTGCACATGTACGAACTGCGCGAGGTGACCGACCGCGACCCCTACCGCGCCATCGTCCAGTGGTACTCCTGGCCAACGGCCATTCCGCACAAAAAGTTCGACGACGACAACGTGGCCATCGACTTCAGCCTGGAGGTGATCGAGGAGCATCGGCCGTACGACAACGACGTAGCCCTCGGCGCCATCTACCGCAAGTGCATCGTCCTGGAAGGCACATCGCAATCCTCCGCGCAGGGGATCCTCAAGCGCTACTCCGGCAAACTTAAGACCACCACCTGCCCCATGTTTGTCAGCCGGTACCGGTTCGTCCGGGTGAAGCGGACCTATCACTTGATTCCCCTAGAAATCCACCTGGAGCAGCCGGAGGAAAAAGCCCGTTCCTCGCGCAAATCCCTAACTGCTCACAAGGAGTCTAAGCGGTCGGCCTCCGCGCGCAAGGATGCCGCCGCTGGCGAAGCCGCGCTGGAAAAGCGACGACGCTCCTCCATGGCAGCGGCCAGTTCCGTGGAGTTCATCGATGTCAACTACTTCAACTGCGAGAACAAGGTGTCGCCCATCAAGATCGTGGGCGGTCGCAGTGTGGTGCGGATGTCGGAGAAGAAGCAAGCGGCCCCCGAGATCAATGCCAACTATCTACCGGCCTCGCCGCTCACCGAAAAGAATGCCAAGGTGGAGACGCCCAAGTCCCGCGCTTCGGCCGCAAGGCGCAACCTCAATCTCAGCCTGGACCGCGGAGCGGACTCCACAGCCGACTCAGACTGCCTGAACTACTCGATTGTGCAGCAGACACCCGACCCCAAGACGCCGTCCAACGACATGAAGATTAAGCTGCGCATTTCGGAGAGGAGGCGTTCCGTGCGTCTCGCCTCGATGGACGAAGACCCGCTGTCGCTCGAAGTGGCCACAGAAGCACCCAGCACCCAGGGACGCAAGCGACTGGGTGTGTCCAACGGCGACATCTATCACACGCCCACCAAGAAGTCCAAGGAGCTGCTGGAAACGGCGGCCGGCACCGAACTGACGCCTTCGACAAGACGCAAGAGCATCTTGAAGTCAGCCACCAGTCGATTGGGTAAGTGGCAAATAGATAATAATGCTAATCTGATCAAGGATATAAAGTTCCACATGTTTTCGATCGATTGTTTTAGCCGAGGGCACACCGAGACGTAGTATTCATCTGTCGAACATTGTGGAGCAGCGCGTGTTCAAGGAAGATGAGGTCATATCCACACCGAAGAGAGGGCGGCCGAGCAAGAAAAGCATCCAGGACGCCGACGAGGACTACTCGCCAAAGAAGTCGCTGCAAAAGACGCCTACGCGACCGCGTCGTTCCAGCACCACGACCAAGCCAGCGGCGACTCCCAGCAAGGGGATAGCAACCACAACCACAACGGCTGCCCCGATGACGCCCTCGCAGAAGATGAAGAAGATCCGGGCCGGCGAGCTGAGTCCCAGCATGCAGCAGCGCACGGACCGTCCGGCAAAGGACGCCAGCAAATCGGAACTGCAGCTTGCACGCGAACAGCTTCACGTGTCCGTGGTGCCCAAAAGTCTGCCCTGCCGCGAACGGGAGTTCGAGAACATCTACGCCTTCCTGGAGGGCAAGATCCAGGACCAGTGCGGAGGCTGTATGTATGTGTCCGGAGTTCCGGGCACTGGCAAAACAGCCACTGTGACCGGCGTCATACGCACCCTGCAGCGCATGGCCAATCGGAACGAGCTGCCCGCCTTCGAGTTCCTGGAGATTAACGGCATGCGGCTGACGGAGCCGCGCCAGGCTTACGTGCAGATCTACAAGCAGCTCACGGGCAAGACTGTGTCCTGGGAGCAGGCGCACTCTCTGCTGGAGAAGCGCTTCACGACTCCGGCACCGCGAAGAGTCACCACTGTGCTGCTGGTTGATGAGCTGGACATCTTGTGCAACCGGCGCCAGGATGTGGTGTATAACCTGCTTGACTGGCCCACCAAGTCGGCGGCCAAACTGGTGGTGGTCACTATTGCCAACACCATGGATTTGCCGGAGCGCCTGCTAATGGGTAAGTCTAACTATTCGCCCTGGCTACATGTACATCCTCTAAATATCATTGCCCCTTTTTCCTGTAGGCAAAGTCACCTCTCGTCTGGGACTGACCCGACTCACCTACCAGCCGTACAGTCACAAACAGCTGCAGGAGATCGTCACCGCCCGTTTGGGCGGATCGGAGGCCTTCAAGGGCGAGGCCGTGCAGCTGGTGGCGCGCAAGGTGGCCGCCGTCTCCGGTGACGCTCGTCGAGCTCTGGACATCTGCCGGCGGGCCACGGAAATCGCCGATACCGCTTCGGTGAAGTGCGTGACCATGCTGCACGTGCAGCAGGCTTTGGCGGAGATGATAGCCAGCGCCAAGGTGCAGGCCATCAAAAACTGCTCGCGGTTGGAGCAGATCTTTCTGCAGGCGGTCGCTGCGGAGGTCACACGCACCGGAGTCGAGGAGACGACCTTCATGGGCGTCTACCTGCAGGTGGAGACCATCGCTGCCTTCATGGGCGTGACCACTCCCCCACCAGGACGTGCTCTTCGCGTGTGTGCCAAGCTGGGCGCCGAACGACTCATCATTAGCGAACACTCGCGCAATGATCTCTTCCAGAAAATCCTGCTCAACGTCAGCGCCGATGACATTCACTATGCCCTTCGTGTGGGAGATGTGGCCAACTGATTGAGCACTCAAGAGCAAAGGAGTGGCGCAAAGGAGTAGCCAACAAACTCAAAGAAAATTTTTTACATTTTGACCTTCATTTAATTTAAGGAATCATTCACTTACTAGTTAATTATCCACAACATTGTAATAGCTTAAGCGTTTTTAAATTAATTCTTATTTAAGCGTCATGTTTAAACAATTTAAAGTACAAACTCGTTACTAAAAATACCAAATAAAACACCAGAACAGTGTAACAGTCATAGAGTACTTTTGGGGAAAAGACGGAATAGATGAAGAGGTGGTAGCGAAAGCCGACCATCAGGCAGAGGTAGATGGCCGCAGGCAACATGACCAGCGCGGCGTAGAGCGGAGCTATCAGTGAATCTGCGGCGATGGAGTATGGCGGCTGCAGCTGCATGATGCCCACACTACGCAGATCCGAGCGTAGCGTATGGACAACTAGATATAGGAATGCATGAATCTCGGCACCGAACGTGTTCAGGGTGACGAAGAGGCCCACGACGACCGGGTTGTAACTAGTCTGCCCGATGTAGCCGGGCGTCAGGTCAATGGTGGACAAGCTGTTCGAGTTGCCCTGGAAGAAGTAGAACATCCTGGCCAGAAATATGGTCATGATGATCTTGTACACATGCACCAGCCGCACAGAGAACTTGCGGGCACTGGTCCCGAAAACATCGCACAGCTTATAGGTTTGCTGCAGGGCCACGAGCAGCATGGGCAACAGTAGGATATTCGGAACCTTCTGCAAAAGAGCAGCCAGCAGCAGGGAGCTGGTGAGGTTCGTCTGGAGCAACTGCAGCAACGCGGCCGTGGGCGGCTCATCAGCGAACCTTTGCGTTTGGGGCAGCGCCGCCCGATAACCCAGCACTAGAACCAAGGCCAGACAGCACCAGAACACCACCAACGTGGGCACCATGAGTTTCGACCTGGAAGTACAAAAAGTGGTTAGTTAAGGCTAGTGTTGAGTAGCTGGATTGAACCTACGCCATATACGGAGGCATCTCGAAGAAATGCACCTGGCCGTTTAGTCCGCGAAAGCAGTAAACCATACACAAAGCGGCTCCACTGGCCACCGACTGCGGCAACTGACTGTGCCGGTGAAGGCGAGCCCAGAGCAACAGCAGGGAGAATATCATGATGGTGCTCCTGATGGCTTGCAGCCTGTGGATGTAGCGCATCAGTGTGAGCAGCATGAGCATCACGAACACTTTGCGCATCTGCCACAGACACGTCGATGCGACGGTGTACAGATGCCGGCCATCCAGTTCCACGTTGGTTTTGGTGATGCGCCGTCGCAGCGTTCGAAAGGCTGTCAGCAGGATGAGGGTATTACCCAGGTAATACCAGGTCTTGTACTCGTACTCAATGAACGAGGAGGAACCAAGAGTCAGGGTGCGAATAGCAAAGCAAACTAGCAGGGGTATCGGCAACGGAATGGAGATCCTCAGGCGACGTGTGTACAGCGGCGGTAGTGCAATCTTAAGCAGCGCCTGCGCCACATCGATTGTTAGATAAACAGCTATGGCAATGGGTATCGTTAGTAGAACGCTCTGGAGCATGGAACTGGTCAGGATGATATCCAAAGCATGGCTAGTCACATTTGAAAGGACAGCCGCAACCACGGAAACCAAAAACTGCCCCGCTTTTAAGCTGTCCAGCTGAAGCTGCTCGGTGAGATCCAAGTACAGCACGCTGATCACAATATGAAGGGATGTCTGGAAGTTAAAGCTCACTGTACTATTGTAGGCTAATTTAGGCTAACTCTAAAACCTACCGCTGTGGTCAAGGCGAGTCCTAGTGCTATAAATCCGTAGTCAAACTTCACCAGGGACTCGGACAGCAGCCCGGAAATTTCACGGGCCACCCGCATGTAGTTGAGCTTGGCTTGAACTTGATACACCTGGCTAGATCCACCTCCACTATCCTGCAGCAGCTTTTTGTGCAGCAAGGTGGCATTCTGATACCAGGTGTAGTAGTCTGTAGGATTACAAAACGTTAGCTTGTAAAAATCACAGCAGGAAGACCGTCTTCTCACCACTCCGGTGGACCCTGTCGTGACCGAACTTCACTCGCGCCTTGTTGAGCAAATGGTGCGCGTTGTAGAAGTAGGCGTACATCTGGTGCTCCAGGGGCAACGTCTGCAGCATCTCCGGGATCAGGCAGCCAATGGAGGGAGTGGGTATCTCAACAGACAGCAGCACCGACAGAGTGGGCGCCAGGTCAATTTGGTTGTAGCGTTTTGTGCCGGATCTGTGAGCAATTAATGAAATAAAAATAGCGATTTGTCTCCCAGCTTGGTTTCAAATGCTGCTTACGTGGCCTTGCTGCAGTTGTTTGAATACAGATATAGGGGCACCAGAGTTTCGGCTGGTGTATTGCCGCCATGTCCTCCGCCATCAGCCATGCCATGATCCCCCGTCAGCATGAGGAAATAGTTGGGAAAATTCTACAAAAACGATTTATTAACTTCCCTGAACATTATGGTATTGAAGGCTCACCTTGTGGTCCAATATCTTCTGCACCGCCTCATCCATTTCCTTAAGCTTGAGGGGAACCCGAGGACTGGCGTTGCCCTCAACATGGCCAATGTGGTCTAGGCCCAGATAGTGTAGAATGAGCAGAGACCAGTCGCTGAGCTCCAACTCTGATTCCATTGTCGTGGTCACATTTCTATCGCCCTCATAGAAATCGTTTACGTAAAAGGAATCGTGGTTCTCGGCATACCGCGTGAACTCGCTGGGGAAGAGCTTCACCCAGGTGTGGTCACCGGCGAAGGAAACCACCTTGTCCCGTTGATTCAGGCGGTGCAACAAGGAGTCCTGCAGCTGCTCCGTGTGGCCCACGTTCAGGGCAATGTCGATGAAGTTGGACAGGGTGCCGGTGGTGATGCTCTTCAGGCGTGGCATCGTCACCGTCGGTATGTCCACATGGAGGGTGAGCTTCTCGCAGGCCCTGGAATGAGCCACCGGCATGGACGTGGCATCGGGAAAGTCGTCGCGCAGCGCATCGACCAGGAACAGTATGAAAGCACTGTAGGCAGGTGGCGGGGGCGTCAGTCTGCAAAGGGTATCGGGCGTTATCAGTCTTATCTCACGCAACTATCAGCTCGCTACTCACTCAACGCCGTGCAAAGTAGTGGGCCTGCCACCGGGCACGGTGCCCGGGTCCTCCGCCATAGAATAGGAGGCCGGGAAGAAGCCGATCAGGAAAAACACGGCCCCGCACATGAACAGTGTGAGCATGCCGATGGTGTAAACCAGCCGACTCTTGTGCTGCTCCATCTTCTTGTTTTCATCGAAAGTTCCGCGCTCCACCGAATTGACCACAACTCCAAAATTTACCGCCTGTCAGCTGGCAGTAAAATATAAACACAGGCTATCGATAGGCGCACTGTGTTATCGATAGGAGATGCATCGACTTTCCATGGCTGTAGAGATAGGGGTTAACTGTAAGACTCTCTATTTTTCATTTAAAGGGTCCTTTATTAACAACTTGATATTAAAGTAATTTCCATTGGAAATGTTATAAAAAAAAATATATAAATATTTAAAATTAACATGACTTACTTGTTTTAAAATAAGTATTTTTGTGTCTTTCAAGTAATACGTAATTTTATCCCATTCAAACTGATTGGGGCTACACCTATGACCCCCAATTGGTCTGGATATAAACAAACGCCTTTTTGTAAAGCTCTTAAATTAAAATGGAAACATGTGGCCTTATTTGTGTGAGCGGGGACTATGAGAAGTTCCTGATGCGCTGCTCCCAGTGTCCTACGGACGTGGAGGTAGCTCAGTGGCAGGAGTTTGTGCTCCACATCCGAAACGTGCACAGCCAAGTCCGGATCATTAAAGAAGAGTTGAAAAAAATAGTGGAGGAAGATGACGAAGTGCCAGAGGACGAAGTGGAATCTAAGGAGGAGATTCTAAAGAAGACACAGGCCGAGGAAGCCGAAACAGCAGAGGAAGCCAATATTGAGTTGGAAATAGAGCCAGTTGGCTCCTCTGTTTACGCGACAGAGGAGTCTAATCATTCAGATACCACTGATCACGAGGACTACGACCAGGAGGTAGAACCCAGTGAGCTGACTGTGGATGAGGCAGATGTAAAATCTGCGCCCACTTACAAGGTACTCCAGAAAATGATGTATGAGCCCAACTAAACCCAGTTTTGGTACTTCAGTTCAATCCATCCTTTTTTCGCCGGGACCCTCGAACGCTGAAGTTCATAGAGATCTACAAAGCCCACCCGTGCCTCTGGAATCCTGCCCACAGCCACTATAAGGAGCCCAGAGCATGGAAGGATGCGTTCAAGCGGATGCTGGCCGACTTGGAGGCAACTGTGGCCGTATTCCTAAACGAGACTACTTTGAAGGTGGCCATCAAGAAGGTACACATGCAGTTCAACACCGTCCACAAGCGAGTGCTTTCGGGAAGGCAAAAGACGCAATCGTTGGCTTACGGGGTATATTCTCTGTGCAGCTTTCTGAAGGCCAGCAGGGATGAGGAAGAAGCTAACAAAAACGAAAAGATCAAGGCAAGGATTTAAATGTAGTTATATAAGTATCTATTAGAGCAATCTTTTGCCCCTAGCTGGACTTTTCCAAGAAAAACAAGCTGACCACCGATCTGATTGAGATGTATGCCAACTTTCCGCAGTTGTATGACTCCACGCACACCGAGTTCTCCAACATGAACTCCCGGAAACAGGCTTATGAAAGCCTGGCCGCTGAAATCTCAGTGCCAAATGTGGACATCAACAGCGATGACATCTTCCGCGCCATCCACAATCTTCGCCAATGGTACTACAAGAGCACCAAGCATGCCATTAATGCTGGAAGTGGGGCGGAGAAGTTCTATCTGGAGGTATGCCGATTTATGCCCCCCAAGATGTTCAAGCAGCGCCTGGTCTGCGAGATCTGCCACCAGGTCACGTCCTCGGATCACGTCCTGCAGTCGCACATCTTTAAAGCCCACAACATCGGCGAGCTGCCGTTCAAGTGCACGCTGTGCGACCGGAGTTTTGTTGGACGTGGCGAGCTGGCGAACCACATCCAGCGGGTCCACATCGGCAAGACACATAAGTGCACCCACTGCGAGCGGACATTCGCGGTGAATTCGGATCTTCAGCTGCACATCCGCACTCACACGGGCCACAAGCCCTACGTCTGCGAGCACTGCGGCAAGGCATTCCGACTAAGGTCCCAAATGAAGCTCCACGTTACGGCCATTCACACCAAGATCAGGGCCTTCAAGTGCAGCATGTGTCCCAAGGACTTTGTGAAAAAGGTCGACCTGTCGGATCACATCAAGGGCCACCTGAACATCCGCGACAAAATCTGCAGCGTGTGCGGCAAGGGATTCACCAGCTGCCACGCTCTGATCCGCCACCGACAGATCCACTCCGAGGTAAAGAAGTTCGTGTGCAAGCTTTGCGACTCCAGGTTCTCCCAGTTCGTGGGTCTCAATACGCACATGAAGCGCACCCACAACATTGTCCGCAACAGTTCGCAAAAAGCAAAAGAGGCTGTGGACGTTGAGCACTAGATACGGCTGAATAAATATTTATTAAAATGGTACAAAATAAATGGGGTGTAAATGTATTATATTACAAGGGAAAAACAATCTATATAAAATCCATGTTTTAAAAACCATACTGTTTAAATGTTTTCCCAAACGCAAGTGCAAACATTTTAGAAGTTTTCTAAATTTTTTCCTATTCCTAAAAATTAAAAAAATTTTAAAGCAACCTAATTCAACATTTAAATCTTTTTAGGTCCCTAAAATTTTATAATAGTTCAGTTCCCTCAACTTATGTCGATTTTTCAACGTTTAATTGGTTTTGGGAATAACAAAATTATACTTATACTTACTGCTTAAAATATATTTATTTCAAAAATTGAATTCGATAGACTACGTCACCTTTCGCGATAGTGTATCTGATAGGCACCACTTTTCGATAGCGCATCTCCGCTTACCAACACTGGCCGAAACACACATATTTTTAATAAACGCTGTTTTCGACAAAATAAGGTTTTTTTTCTGCTCAGAGGTCGAACCGGAGCCGCCAACATGAGCATGGAGGTGTGCGGCAGTGTGGTTACCAACAGCAAGTACGAACTTTTCCGCCTCAAGTGCATCTACTGCACGATAGAGAGCGAGCTCAAAGATTGGGAGCTGTTCATCGTCCATGTAAGGACGGCCCACTTCTGTGACGAGGAGGACTTCGGGCCCATTGAAGCCAAACACGACGCAAATGAGCAAGAAATGAACTCTGGGACTGGGACTTCGGATCCCGCCATCGCCTATGGCCCGGACGACTTCTTCGAGGTGATCGACAACATCAATACAGATGATCAATGGCTGCAAGCTGATGGCGACGTAAGATTATCTGCCACATTTTGTCCAAGTAACTGAGAATTTTCTGTTCTATAGGAGGTCCAATACTTGGACGATGGCACCACTTGGTCTCAGCCCACAGCCGACTTCGGCGAGTTCATGTCAGAAGCGCCAACCGGAACTAAAGCCAATGAAATGGTTGACTCCTCCCAAAATGAAATCCCCCTTAACGGCGAGGACGGCGAATGCAGTGACTTTTATATGTCTGAGGATGACCTGTTACCCCAAAAAAGAGTTGGACGACCCCGCAAACGAACTAGACCAGGACAGGTTTTTAAGGTGAATATATTAAACCGTCTTCTGGCATGAATAAATCAAACTGTACTCTTTCAGTTCAAAGTGTCGTTCATTCGGAGCAACCCCCGGGTGCTGCATCTGATACATGCCTACAAAGAGCACCCCTGCCTATGGGATCCCTCGGACGAGCACTATAAAGACGAGCCAGCACAGAATATGGCCTACGAGTCAATCATTAACCGCATGGACATCAAGGCCAATGTGCTTCTCACCGTGGAAGAGCTGAAGAAAACAATCGAGCAGCTGCACGTCCAGTACACGCTGGCTTTGGAGTCGAAGCAAAAGGGAAAGCTGGTTGGCCTGGCGGCGCGCTACTTTGCCAAGTGCGAGTACCTAAGTGTGGCGCCCGGCATAACGCCCAAAGAGACGGAGGAGGACGATGACTTAACTGTCATTAAGGTAACAAAAAGGCTAGCTTTTATCTGACTCGTTTGTAACGAAATCCGTACGTTACAGCTTAACTTTAAGGAGGAAAACCTGGTCACAAGCTCCTTTATAGAGACGTACGCCAATTATCCTGGGTTGTACAACCCCGAGCTACCGCAATTTGGATCTGTAGAGGAGCGCGCCACTGCTTACAAAAAGATGGCCAAGGAATTTCAGCCGGTGGTGAAGGCCAACGAGACGGACGTGTACATCGCGGTCAACAAGCTGCGCCGCTGGCTGTACGACGCCATGCGTCGCCTCAAGTCCAAGGAGCTGATCCAAAAGTGTAGTAAGCAGGAGGTGCAGTACCTCCGCATGTGCAGCTTTCTGCCCCCCAAGGGCTCGGAGAGCACGGTGCTGTACTGCGACTACTGCGAGAAGCGCTTCCACGGCGACTACAACCTCCGGGTGCACATCGTCAAGGCGCACCAGGTGGGCGACCTGCCCTACCTCTGCAACCTCTGTCCGCGGCGCTTCGACCGGCAGGTGGACATGGACCGGCACAAGCTTCGAACCCACTTCGAGCGGAAGCTGAGGTGCCAGTATTGCGAGAAGAGCTTCGCCGTGGACACCGACCTGAAGGTGCACGTTCTGATTCACACGGGCGAGCGGCCGCACGTCTGCGACATCTGCGGCAAGACTTTCCGGCTCAAGCTGCTCCTGGACCATCACGTCAACGGTGTCCACCTGAACATTCGGCCCTACAGCTGCAACATGTGCAGCAAGACCTTCCGCAAGAAGTTCGAGCTGGCCAACCACATCAAGGGCCACTTGAACATCCGTGATAAGAAGTGCGAGTATTGCGACGCCACGTTCTATGACCATTCTTCGCTCTCCAGACATCGACGTATTCATAGGAGTTGATGAGTTTTTGACTAACTCGAAGACGTAATGGTTAGCTTCAGGCTAAATAATCTCGATCAGTAAAATTCCTTCGTTTATCTTAAAGCATTGAATTAATATAACTTAAATGATTTTATTCTACCATTTTAATCATGAAAATGAAATAAATATTATTAATATAATTTAATTTTCACATTTTTCACCTTGTTGCTATTATAATTTTAAAACACTAACCAGAAATAAGGCCTACATTAAAAATAAGTGAAAAATAATATTTCCATACAATTCTTACTGATACCAGAATCGATTTCTTATCACTTGCATTTTCCGGAGCAATTTCCCAACACTAACCAGCAGGTGTTTATCGATACATTGCGTTGTTTTGCGTCTTTAATCGTATTCTTTTTGTTTGTAAGCAAAGCATGGTGATTTGCGGTAATATTTTGGCCAGGGACAACTACGAGCACTTTGTTTTGACTTGTGCGCACGCAAATGAGTGCCACGTGGAGATGGGTTTCGAGCGGTGGCGGGAATTCATTGTGCACATCAAGGAACACCGGGAAATGCACTTGGAAACACAGGAGGAGGCTGCTTCCTCCGACGAAAGCAATGTGGAGACGTCGTCAGCAAAAGTGTTTATAGTGGAGGAGCATCCGGAGAATTGTTTGGCCGAGGACATGTTCGTGGACCTGCCCGCCTCCTCCGAGGACGAGAGCAATGGCGAGGATGAGGATGAAGACGAGGACGAGGCGGGCGTGGACTGCCCCTCAATGGCGGTTGACTGTGAACTGGGCGCCAGCAGTTCCCCCTACTTCGCACCCCTATCCAAAGTAAGCCACTGCATCGAAAGTAAACCACCATTTCAACCAGAAATCCTGCTTTCCTGCAGTTCAATCCAACGTTCTACCGACGCAGTCCACGGATCACCCAGTTCATCGAGCTGTACAAGCAGCATTCTTGCCTCTGGGATCCGGCGGATGATTCGTATAAGAACAGGGAGAAACGCACAGAAGCCTACGACAAGTTGCTGGAGCAATTGAAGTCCACCGTGAACCTCCATCTTACGGCCTACAAGCTCAAAAAGTGCATCGCAAGTCTGCACGCCCAGTATGCTGCGATTACGCGCCAGAAGAAAACGCAGAAGCTGACCAAGGTACCACTATACTATCACGGCAAGTACGGTTTTTTGGCGGAGCGCGGAAGTCTGGAGGACGATGACAGCGATGAGGACGACGGCGATGGCAAGATAAAGGTGGGTACGCATAAACAACGAGGTGTTTATCGAAGCTAATGACTTACCCCTCGACAGCTGGTGTTTACGGAGGAGAATCGACTGACCACTCTGTTTATCGAACTGTACTCCAAGTTCCCTCATCTGTATGATCCGGCACACGAGCACTTCTCCAATCTGGGTGAACGCAAGGCTTCGCTTATTGAGATGACAGATCTGTTGACGACGGAGATTCCGCTGGGCCTGATCACCCACTACGATGTGTACGACAGTATTCAGAGCATGCGCCAATGGTATTCGCGCCGGATAAAAACGCTCACAGACGTGCAATCCGTGGGTCTTTCGCTGGCCGAGAAGCGGTACATCGACCGGTGCAAGAGCTTCATGCCCACTAAGACGTTTCGCCAGAAGCTCAAGTGTGAAGTCTGTGAGCACGCCTTCAGCACGGATCACGCCCTGCAGGCGCATCAGTTCCGGGATCACAAGATGGGCGAGGGTGGCTGGTTCCGGTGCGCGTTGTGCGAGCTGAACTTCGACCGACGCTGCCACCTGCAGCAGCACATACAGCGGGTGCACATGAGCAAAGCGTTCGTCTGCGACATTTGCAGCCGGAGCTTTGCCTTCGGAAACCAGCTGGCCATCCACAAGCGCACCCACGACGAGAAGCACGTGGCCAAGCCGTTTGTCTGCGAGTTCTGCGGCAAGTCGTTCAAGCAGAAGATCCAAATGACCACCCACGTGACTGCGGTGCACACCAAGATCCGGGCCTTCAAGTGTCACATGTGCCCCAAGGACTTCCTGACCAAGCGCGACCTCAAGGACCACGTGAAGGCGCACCTGAACATCCGCGACAAGGTGTGTGAGGTCTGCCAGAAAGCCTTCACCAATGCCAACGCCCTGGTCAAACACCGGCACATCCATAAGGAGAAAACGCTGCAGTGCTCCCTCTGCACCACTCGCTTCTCGGAGCGGGTCAGTCTGGGCGTCCACATGCGGCGCACCCACAAGATCATCAAGAGCACCCTAAAGGTGGCGGAGCCGGCTAGCGATGCCCTCTTTGCACACACATTCCCTCAGCCCTAAGACATTTCCAACAAATAAAAGATATTTACACATGTATTATAGCTTTAACATTAAAAACAATATGACTATTATGAACAATAATCAGTTTTATTATGCATTTTATAAGAGTTATACTGAGTACTTTGCTTTATGTCGTTTTATCTTGTCGAATTTGGGTCGCTTTAAAGCAGTGGCAATTGATATGGCGTATCCAAAATTTTTTAATAAAATATATTTAAATTTTTTACCCGAGTTGAAAAATGTTCACTCTGCCTACCACACTCCATTCAAAAGTAATTTTTGGCAATGAGAAAAAATGTAAGTTCATTTTGTTATTTGTATGTATAATTCAAAATTCTGACACACAAAAATTATCAAGGTGTATTGTTTTTTTTTTAAGTAAACTATTATCTTGAACTTATAATTTGGACAACCAATTTTAACTTTCCTCAGAACACATAAACAAACATATATGGAACTCTAGAAAATCTACTATTTATAGTAACTTCAGTAAGCAATTTGTTTAATAAACCACGTCCATATACTATACTCAAAGCAAATTAGTATTAGCTGAGAAAAGTTTGCAAAATGTCACTGGAAAAAACATTTGAACATTTTAAACAGGTAAGAAAAGCACGAAGAATGTTCAAAGTAGCTAACGACTTCTTATGTCAATTAAATGTTTGACATAATTTGGTTTTTAACTGCTGTTAACAAGGTACGATTTTTAAATAAAAATAACATGTATACCCTTTTACTTAACTTTAGAAACAAATCAAAATTTTTAATGACCAAAAAAAACCTTTTGAAAATAACGATTTTTCTCAAATTTTAAATAGTAGAGCAAACAGAGCAAAATAGTATTGTTAATAAAGACTTCTAGAGCACATTTAAATGCGATCAAGGAAATGTTGAAATTAAATTAAAGTTAAGCTACAAAGATAATTTTCTTTCAAACATTTGGAATAACCCTTGCTTAAGTTTGCACCGACTTTGAATATTTTCTTTACTTTTTATTGTTAACTTCTCCCGACCTTATCAAAATTTGGAAAGTAGTCTGCCCCAGTCCACTGATTTTTTCGCTGTGTAACACTGGCCGAACAGCTGTTCTTGTTTTGGTTTTCCACGACGTGCACTGGTTACGTGCTCTGCCATCGGATTGCGGAACTCGACGGTAGCAATGAGCGGACTGCTTCCCAAGTTATGGCGTCAATGTGACGCAGTGTTTCTGCACCGGATCAGCCAGGCTCTGGGCGGTTCCGGCGTCCAGCAGAGCCGGTGGAGCGGAGCACGTCTGCTGGCCACCAGTGCGGATAAAAGTCCGGCCACCGGGCTGCGTGAGCTGCCGCACTGCAATGTGGGCACCATCGGTCACGTGGACCACGGCAAGACGACCCTGACCGCCGCCATCACCAGGATACAGTCGCAGAAGGGTCTGGCTGAGTACCTGTCCTACGACCAGATCGATCGGGCGCCCGAGGAGAAGGCGCGCGGCATAACCATAAATGCCTGCCACATTGGCTACGCCACCACGGAGCGGACATACGCCCACACGGACTGTCCGGGTCATGCGGACTACATAAAGGTAACGATGCCTAATATTTGCATATTCCAGCTATTAAAACCATTTTCCTTGTGCAATGCAGAACATGATCTCGGGCGCCTCCCAAATGGATGGCGCCATCCTGGTGGTGGCCGCCACCGATGGCCAGATGCCGCAGACCCGCGAGCATCTGCTGCTGGCCAAACAGGTGGGCATTCAGCGCATTATTGTCTTCATAAACAAGGCCGACCTGGTGGACCAGGAGGTGCTGGAGCTGGTGGAAATTGAGATGCGAGAGATGCTAACCGATTTTGGTTTCGATGGCGTAGGTAGCCCTGTGATTTGTGGCTCGGCATTGCTGGCTCTTCGCGAGGATCAGTCGGAGTTCGGCGTTCCGTCCATTGAGAAGCTATTGGAGCAATGCGACTCCTACATACCAACCCCACAGCGCGATGTGCTCGCCCCCTTTATCCTGCCCATCGACAATGCTTTTACGGTGCCCGGAAGAGGGACCGTGGTCGTGGGCACCATTAAGAGGGGCACTATTCCCCGGAACGCGGATGCCGATCTGCTGGGCTTCAATCAAAACCTGAAGACGAGCATCAGTGACATACAGATCTTCCGGAAGAGCGTACCGCAAGCGCAGGCCGGCGAGAATGTGGGCGCACTGCTGCGAGGCATCAAAATATCCGCCGTGGAACGAGGAATGCTGCTCTGCGCGGCCAATTCCGAAGATATTTCTAACCACTTTGAGGGTTCCATGTACCTGCTATCGCGGGCCGAGGGCGGTCGCGTTAAACCCATGCTCTCCAAGTATATTCAGCAGCTGTTTAGCCAGACGTGGAATGTTCCCGCACGTATTGATATAGGTAAGTTTTAAGATAAACTACACAGGACAACCAAACAAGACTTTGCTGAGGGTTCAGGCTTATCTGTACAACTAAGTATTGGTGGAGTCTTATCTAAGCATATTTTTTTGTTATAGTTTAAGATACATATCTCAATTATGAGTGCTATTTTTTAATTTATAGAATTTCTTCTACCTTTTAACGGCTCAAAAGCTAGGAACATTCATATAAAACTTAAATTTTTAAATTAAAAATCAGTAGGCTGTGCTAGCTCTTCTCACAGGTAAAATATTAAAGTGCATACATTTTGAGAGGGTATTATATATTTTGACCCTATAAAGTATATATATTCGTGATCATCATCATCAGGGGAGTCGATCCAGCCATGTCCGTCTGTCTGTAGGTCCATCAGTCCGTCCGTTTCTACGCAAACTAGTCTTTCAGTTTTACAACTAACAGCAGCGAGTATATAAGTCGGAGCAAGCCGTATCGGACGAT